AAACACCCGGTGGGCCGGATAAATGTCCTCAGCGGGCAGCATGAGGCCCACGGGCCCTAGTTTGAGGATGCCTGGTCTTGACTATAAAGAAAGGTTAGAGCAGGGGTCCGCAGACTTTTTAAACAGGGGGCCAGTTCACTGTCCCTCAGCCCGTTGGAGGGCCAGACTATAGTTAAAAAAAAAGCAAACTATGAACAAATTCCTATGCACACTGCACATATCTTATTTTGAAGTAAAAAAACAAACGGGACAAAACACCCGGTGGGCCGGATAAATGTCCTCGGCGGGGCCGCATGTGGCCCGCGGGCTGTCCTTTGAGGACCCCTGTTCTAAAGCGTTCCTTGTTTTATCAAATAAGGCCAACGGTCCGAAGGAGCCCCACCCAGGTATCCTATAGAAGCTGCCCCAGCCCCACCCCCAATCTGCGTTTCTCTGTTGTTGTTCTGGTTTGTAGACTTGGGTTATGGCTTCAGGGAGCGGATTTCAGAGGTGAGGTGCTCTTGCTTCACATGGTGATGCGTGATACGGTCTTGGCCATCTGGTGTCACACCGATGGTCTCACGGGGGCGGTCATCCTACCTCAGCTGGGCCAGGGAGAGTTTGCTACACTTTCCACACTAATGGCACTGCTTCTCTCCTTCCGTCTTCTGTCCTTGGTAAATGAACCCTGGTCTTGCCCAAAGGACCCTTTCAGTAGTGGCCCCTCAGACTCGTGGGTGGGTACTTTTCTTCTGTCCGGTAGCAGCCCACTCTTGCGCAGATGCCCAGGACATCGCTACCCAGGGCCATTCGAGACCACCAGGCATGTCCACACTCTTTGAAGGAGAACAGGTGCCCCTCCCAACCCAGAGCTTAAGCAAAATATACACCCAAGCGTGAACACCCCTGAAAAATACTTGGAAGAGGGCTCTACTGTGAGACTTTGAAAGTGTCATGACTTTGAAAGTTAGACCATTGTGTTGGAGTTTAGAATCTTGTTAATGTATATATGTAAATGAATATGAATATATATATATATACACACACACAAACATATGATTTGCTACATATATTGGTTGTGTATTTCTTGTGTTAGAGTTTTAAAATTTTTATTCAGGGAGGTTGGCACTAATGGCTTTAAGTTAGGTCATGAAGGGCCCTTCACGGTTCTCCACATTTGGTCAAGGACATTCAGGTCACTGCTACCCCTACAAACAGGCAGGACACTTAGCTCAGAATAAGCAGTGCTCTCATAGGGAGTTTCCAGAAATCCTTAAACTTTTCAATACCAGTGAAGACCGTTTTGCCCTGCTTGCTCCCTAGGGCGTGATGCAGGGAACTGTGCCCTACCTGGGCACCTTCCTGACTGACCTGACCATGCTGGACACTGCTCTTCAGGATTTCATCGAGGTGAGCTTTGTGCAGGGGCTGCCATTGGCCTCCGTCCTTCTTCCTTAACATCGGTGAGAAAAATTGTGTCGTTGGGATCAACTATGTGCCTGCTGTGTACACAGTTGTGTGTTGGGTGCAATGAGAAAGGTAACCCAAGCTCAAACACCCGTGGAAGGACTTAGATTAAAGCAGGCAGTGACAGGTAGGAAACTCAAATGACAGGTAACAAATTCAATGAGAAAACAAGAGGGTCAAAACAGTCCACAAAGGCTCTCACCAAGACCAGTTGACACCGTCCTGCGCCAGAGGGCTCAAGTACAGCCACGCCATGAGGGTGGCCAAGCCCAACAAGGTTTCTGTTCGGTTGGACATAGACTGCCGTGTCTCAGAACCAGCACAGCAGCGCCTAACAACAGCAGATCTTGAAGTGAACAGTAACAAGGTTCCAAGGAGACTGGCCTACTTCCATAGGAGGCTCCGTGGGGAAAGGGCCTGCTGGAGGACTGCGTTCGAGGAAGACCTGCCTGTTGAATGGGACTTTGGTGGTAGATCTGAGAGCGTCCTATCCTCTCGACATTCCACCTGGCGAGCCAGGGCCTCTGCCATATTGCTGGCTTGTCTTTGCTTCAAGTATCCTTGTTGCCCACCCCCAAGCCCCACCACCACCATTGCTGCTTGTTCTGGGGCTGTTTCTCTCTTTCTTCCTTTGTCTGTTTTCTAGGGAATGGGAAAAGATGTGAAACCCCATCAAGCAACTACTTGTTAGTAGCACTTCTAAAATATTAGAGAAGAAATTTGAAATTCAAAATTTAGGTTTAAGGATTGCTTGTCGATTGAAATTCATCGACCCTGCTGATTACCACATGCAGTCAGCGGCTTTTACTCTTATAGCTGGAAAGTGTAGGCACTATTGAATATATACCGACTTTCAATTTTATCACAAGAGTTCTCATTCATTCTGGACCTTTCGTTTACATTTCCTGAGTTCGATGTCTGCTCACATCCTCTGCCTCAGTTTATCTCAGGAAACACCCTACACGGTTGGGGAATTTTTTGGAAGTGACTAATAATTTAGAAACGAAATTCAGCTTGCTGAGAATAGGAACTGGAGGGGTGAGGAATAGAAACTTAACTTTTCCTGATGCTGTATAGATGTGACTTCCCTTTTGATAAACCATTGACAATTTGGTTTCCAGTATGACACACTGGCTGTTTTTGTTGCTTTGAGTCAGGGAAAAAAAAGTGTCATGGGATATTTGTTTGGGCTTTCTCTTTTGCTGGTTTGCAAATGGATTTGGATTCTGATATGTAACTTTCTTATCCTTTCTATTTTAGTTGGTTTCAGATATTCCGAGGCAAGCCTATCTTCCTAGTCTGCCCGATTATAATGAAAAGAATGTCGATTTTTCTTGATTCAAAAGATGGGCTCACCCTCCAGAGTAGCCACCATGATGGCCTCATTAATAATTGAGACTGAAATATGAAGCCCTGAAGGGGCGGATGAATAGAGACAATAACTGACGTAATGGGGAGTGCTGGGGGATACAGGGGTGGTTGAGAGGAATTGGGGGGTAAATGATGAGTCCTGGAGAGGGGAGGGGAGGAGGCACTGGCATGGATTGTAGTGATGTTTGTACAATTCTTTTTAAATACGACTGAACTATGGCAGTGAATGGCATGTGAATGCTATCTCAGTAAAACTATTGGAAAGAAACAGTCATTGTGACTTGATCACTCCTCCGACCCAGCAGAGCATAGGGCGGTGTCTCAGAGTAGCCCTGTTGGTCACTGATTCTCCCCTCTCTCTTTAGGGCGGGCTGATAAACTTTGAGAAGCGGAGAAGGGTAAGTAGAGATATCGGCTGTGCTTTTCCATTTTACTTGATCTGGGCATGAAAACAGAAAATGAACCAAGTGGGGACCGGAGTAGAGAAAGAAAAACAAATGAGCATTTATTAACTACTTATCAGACATCATTGTGCATGCTCCTTCATATCCTCCCCTCCCGCCCCCAAGAATATTTGAAGGTAGATTTTACCACCCTCAAGCCAAAGGGAAGGAAATCAGGGCTCAGGGAGCTGAAATACTTTGACCAAGTTACCTGGCAGCAGGAGCCCCCATCTAGATCTGCTTCACCCCCAAGCCCACACAAGCCCTGGTGGAGGAGGGTGAGCTAGGCTGCTGGCCACAAGGTCCGCGACGAAAACCCCCAGCCCACTCTGCAGGAGAAGAGGAGGCTTTCTCCCATTCCCACCCAGCCGGTCGTCCTGCAGACCCTCGGGGGCAGTTCTACTTCGTCCTACTTGGACCCCACAACACCCAGTTTGGTTTCTGAGGTTTGCCAAAGCCCCCTCTTCTATCTTCATGGCTCCCCATCTCCTCGACAATTATGTTCAACAAGAGCAGGCCCAATCTGTTAAGGAGATCAGGCTTTCATGCATAGCCAAGGGTCAGCAATAATGCTTACTTCTTAAGGGTCTGCTTGAGAAGGGAATGGAAATGGTCTTCATTTTAAACTAAAAAAAAAATCTTCAACCAGCCAACCAAAAACATCACTGGTGAATGGTTTCAGACTCCTGGCAACTCTGTAAGAGAGTGGAATTGCCGGGAGGGTGTCCGGAGCTGTAATCTCTATAGGGGCAGACTGCTGCGTCTTTCTCACTTCGAGTAGCCGGTGGGTTTGAACTGACTTTTGGTTGACAGAGTGTTTAACTACTGTGCCACTAAGGCTCATTACTCTTACATGTAGGTATTTTTTCCCCTTTCTTATCAATGTAGGCAAGGGTATTCAACATCGATTTGAATGTCTCTGCGGAAAGAACATTTTGGAACTCTGCTGGAAAAAAAATAAAATAAAACAGCTTTAGAGATCTGGCATGGTTTTGTGTTAAAATGGCATATTTCAATAGATATTGAAAAGATTCAAAGAGAAATGAGTGAGCAAAATAACCACTTCAGTCCCACATTCTCTCCTTGTTCTGTAGTCGTTCGGGTGTTTCCCTCAACAAATATCGACTGCATGCCCAGCATCGGTTGTCATAGCGATTATGTTTGGAGACTATGGAAGAGAAAGCAGAGTTCCTTGCCCTCATAAAATTCATAATCCAGAAGGGAGGCAGATCAATAAGCACAATTATATCCTGATTAGGCTGACGAGGCTGCCATTGGAAAATGTTGGAAGGGTGTCACTCCCCAACTTCTGAGGCCAAAGAAAGTTCCAAGAGGAAATCACATAGAAGTTAAAACCCTACAGATCCTGCAGGAGTTAGCCGGGCATAGATCATTTGGACAGGGCAATACGCTGAAGAAATGTAACTCTTTGGGCGCTGGTAGAGTGTACTTTTTCTTTGTTCACATCACGATAACTGTTCTCTGAGAGCCATGGTCATTGGGTGGGAAGTTGAGATCCGAGGAATCTTCCCTTGAGTGCCTTCTATCACATCCTACAATGAGAAACTCAGTGATTGCCCCCCTTTGCCCTTTAACTTCAGAATAGCGCTGCCTGGTAATTTCTCTCCTTTTAAGACTAGGATCTTTAACTTTTGGAACGTTTGAGTGTAAAACCTTAAAGCTCAAACCCAGACTAACATAAAACAAACTTTATTGAAACATCTAAAGAAGTATAAATAACGCTGGGCACAATTATATATTTGCTGCTCTTGTGAGCTTTAGAAGACTTAGTTACGCGATTTACTGGAGCAGTAAAAGCCCAAGAATCTAGGAAATTTAAACATTCAGGTTTATGAGGCTCTCGGTTGCTTACATACTCAGCCACACCAAAGCTTCTTTATTGAGAGGCACTTGATAAAGGCAGAGGGATGGGGTGGGGACTCCAGGACTCTAGTACTTGAAACATTTTTCACTTATCTTTTAGGAAATAGAAGTTTTTCATATCTTTTAGGAGATACTCAATCTCAAGTAAATACCATTTCTGTCTCAAGAATGAAAACAGAGAAGACAAGGGCAGCCCTGGTGATGAGTTGGCGTTGCTGGGCAGCCTCTCTTGCTCACGTAAACGGTTTCTCAAAGCAGAACAGGAGGGTGGACAATGACTTGAGCATCCAAGCACTTCAGATACTGAGAGTTGGGATGGCTCAGCCGTGTGCACCTACAGTATTTCTAAAGAAGCAGTGCTCCAGAGTCATCCTGGACAGACTGCTCCGCTGTTTATCCTGCTGTGGCATGTTTGCACGTTACCAAGATCTATCTGCCTTTGGCCTCCTTTTCACTCTTGCTTCTTGGTGTTCTGTCTTGCCTGCTCTAGGAGTTTGAAGTGATTGCTCAAATAAAGCTACTGCAGTCTGCCTGCAACAGCTACTGCATGATGCCAGACCACACGTTCCTGCAGTGGTTCCGGAGGCAGCAGCTCCTGACCGAGGAGGAGAGGTAGGCCGACACACCGCCCAGCAAGCGGGGACCGAGGCCTTGGCCAGACAAGGACCGCATACAATTCCTTATTTGGTCACCGATTCAACAGCTACCATGAAAGCTGGAACCTATGTGAGACAGAGACCTGCCAGAGAAAGAACATGAGCAACAGAAAGCACCCAGCAAGCAATAGGAAAGAGGCGAGACTGCGCTGAGCGTGAGAGCCGGAACATTGCCCAGACGTAGAAAAGCCGGGCCGAGGTCTGGCTCTCACAGATTTCTCTGTGGGAAGGGCCTTCAGAACGTGTGTGGAAAAGCTCAGCAAGCTTTTAAATTCCATTGCTCACCCACTTCCGGAAGTCCCCTTGTGCGTAGTGAGCAGCACCTGGGTTCCGCCGCGCCCTCCATTTTCTGGGGCAGCCAGGGGACGCAGGGAGAGCTCTGTGGAGGGCACCCGAGTTCTGCTTTCAGAGTCTTGCCCTGCCATTCTCTATCGTGGTGGCCACCCACTCTTTCCAGACACCAGGGTGCTCATCTCTAAGTCTGTCTGTGGGAGTGAAATGAAGTGATGCTTGCCCAAACATTGTTAAAGCGTTCATCTCCTCGTCAGGGCCGCGGCCACCGTGTTTGTTACGGGTGCTCATTGCTCCGGGTTTTCAGGGAGCTTCTGGACTGCAGGGAGAGAGAGGAGGAGCAGCAGGTGTGTAAGAAGTGCCCGTGGCTAGGAGCAGCTCATTTGAGCAAGGCTGGACAGGTGCTGGCTGGGAGGCACTCATGACTAGCATAAAGGAGTTGACATTTGGCCGGCTCCATGAAGGAGGCATCAGATTGGGCCAGGAGGAGACAGCAGAAGAACATTCCAGGCAGAGGGAAGAATGTAAGGCAAGGCTCCAGTGGCCTGGAGATACTCTGGCATTTGGGGAACAGTGAGAACGCTGGTCTGGTTGGGACATGGGGCAAGTTTGAAAATCTTGGGTGATGAGCCTGGCAAGGTATATTAGTTCCAGTGCCCTCAAGGTAGGCACAGCTGGGGTTCAGCCTGTATCCTGTAGTCTAGTCCTTGGCAAATTTGGTCATGCGGACCACATGTGGCCCACTGCCTATTTTCCCACTTTTAAATGGCTTTGGGGGGAACATCAAAAGGAGGCTCATATTTAGTGACAAGGGACAATGATTTGAAATGCCACTTTCACTGTCCATAAGTAAAGTTTTATTGGGACACAATTCATTGGTCTATGTCTTGTCTGTGACTGCCTCCACACTTTAATGAAAGTGTGGAGTAGCTACAACAGAGACCATCTGGCTGGCAGAGCCTGAAATATGGACTTGCTGGTTCTTTACAGGAAAAAGGTAGTAATCCCTGTCACCGGCCAGGGGAGTTCCTTGGTAGTGTATCACCCAGGAAAGTGAAGTTGGCAGCAAAATCAGTGTGCACCCCGAGGAAAGTAAGCTTAGGGAAGCACTATAACCAGTAAGGGACAGAGTTTGGATTCAAGGGCAGGCCCGCCTGATTCTACAGCGTGGCTGCAATGTTGGTTGTATAGCATTGGTCAGACCATAGGGCTTCTATAAGCTGTGGTTTCCTTGTTTGAAAACATGATTTCCAAGGCCCTATTTAGGTCTAAGAGGAGCCCTGGTGGCATAGTGGTCACTGTTGGGCTGCTGACCCCCTAGGTCAACAGTTTAAAGCCACCAGCTGCTCCGTGGGAGAAAGATGAGGCTTTCTGCTCCCACAGAGTGGCAGTCTCAGCAATCTACAGGGGCAGTTCTACCCTGCCCTATATGAGTGCCTGGAGTCAGATTGCATCACCTACCCAGTAACGAAGCACAGCTAGAGCCCAAAAAAGACATTTCACACTCGATAGAAATCCCCCATAGAAATCCCCCTTATGTTTGGGCCTGGCTGATTGATGTCAGTGTGGAGTGACTTTAACTTAGGATATTGTAGCAACTGAAGCATAACATTTATGTATCTTTACGAGGATTGTAATTGTTGATTGCTGTTCCCAGAAGGCTAGCAGTTGACAAAGGTTGCTCTCGGTCTTCAGTTCCCTGAGCTGAAAGTACAGGTGTGTGTGGGAGCACACACGGTGGGGGAGAAGGGAAGGCCTTCTTCTGGCCTCCTAGTGAGATGCGAAGGAGAAGGAAACAAATTGGAGTCAGATTTAGATGCCGTGCAGGTGTGCAGGCCCTTGTTTTGGAGGCATGCCAAACTGTACCTCCATCAAGGCTCCAGCGGTCAGGGTCAGGAGAGGCCACCCATAGAGACCCTTGTAAAGCTGGCCACCAGGTCAATACCCTGAGACACCTGTGACGGGATTCAAAGGGTATCTTTGTGCTCAAAAGCATGTGAAAATCGTGTGCATTTGAATCAGCTCCTCGGTTCTCCAGCTCTGGTCTTAGGAACACCTCTCTCCTTCCCAGCTACGCCCTGTCGTGTGAGATCGAAGCAGCTGCGGACACCAGCACCACCTCACCCAAGCCTCGGAAGAGCATGGTGAAGAGGCTCAGCCTGTGAGTGTCCCCGGGCCCGGGAAGGTGCAGTCTGAGGGAGGGAGGGAGGCACAGAGCCAGGGCCCTGAGGAAGAGCAATGAGTCCACTTGCTAAATAAGTTCTTGTCTGGCATGAGCTTAAGGCATAAGCTAAACCAACTCATCCTTCTCCACTGCTCACTCCAGTATAAATCATCATCCTGTCCCGGGACCATGCTAACAAGACCCTTTCTGCCTTCTGCCCTGTACTCTTGCCTCCAGTAATCCATTCCCCAGTGAATAGTCAGGGTGCCCTATAATATATACCCCACGTTATGGCGATGCCTCTGTACAAACCTCCAGTGTCTCTCTTTTATTTATTTTCCAGATCTTTCTTTTTCATTAAATACGTTTATTGGGGGCTCTCACATCTCCCATCACAATCCATACATTCATCCATTGTGTCAAGCACATCTGTACATATGCTGCCATCATCGTTTTCAAAGCATTTTCTTTCTACTTAAGCCCGTAATATCAGCTCCCTATTTCCCCCCTCCCTCCCCCACTCGCCCTCCCTCATGAACTCTTGTTAAGTTATAGATTATTATTTTCATATCTTACATCGTCCTGTCCGCCTTTATGCACTTTTCTGTTGTTCGACCCCTTGGCAGGGGTTATATGTTGACCCTTGCGATCGAGTCCCTCTGTCTCTCCCAACCTCCCCTTATCCTGCTGGCATCTCTATTCTCATTGTTGGTCCTGAGGAGTTCAGCTATCCTGGATTCCCTGTGTTGTGGGCATTTGTCTGTAGCAGTGTGTGTGTTCTGGTCTAATCCGATTTGTAATGTAAAATTGAGGTCATGATAGTGGGGGGAAGGAAACATGAAGGAACTAGAGGAGTTGTGTGTTTCATCGGAGCTATACTGCACCCTGACTGGCTCATCTCTTTCTTATGACCCTTCTGTGAGGGGATGACCATTTGTCTACAGATAGATTTTGGGTCTTTACTCCATGCCCTCTCCCATCCCATTCATATTGGGTGTGATTTTGTTCTGGGTCTTAGATGCCTGATACCTCATCCCATCGACACCTCGTGATCACACAGGCTGGTGTGCATCTTCCATGTGGGCTTTGTTGGTTCCCTGCTACATGACTGCTTGTTTAACTACAAGCCTTTAAGACTCCAGACACTATATCTTTTGATAGCTGATCACCTTCAGCTTTCTTCACCACATTTGTTTATACACCCATTTTGTCTGCAGTGATCGTGCTGGGTAGGTGAGCATCACAGAATGCCGGATTATTAGAACAAAGTGTTCTTGTGTTGAGGAAGTACTTGAGGCGAGGCCGAATGTCCATTTGCAACCTCAATTCTTAACATATAGATTTAAGTACATAGATCCCCTCTCGTTATATATAAATATATTTACATATGTACATGCCTATATTTAGACCTCTATAAGTGTCCTTTGCCTCCTGGTTCTTTCCTCTATTTCCTTTTACTTTCCTCTTGTTCCATCATCATGTTCAGCCTTCATTTGTGTTTAGTAATTCCTCGCTGTTACATTGCTGATTATCGTATATACTCGAGTATAAGCTGAATTTTTAGCACATTTTTAATGCAGTTTTTTGTAAAATTAGGTGTCTCGGCAGATATTCGGGTCGGCTTATACTAGAGTATGTACGGTAAGCCCCACTAGGCATCCTACGACCTTCTCTCCATCAATTTTAGTTCACTTGTAGTTCCCTTGTCCCTGGGTTGGTTTCCCCCCCACCTCCCTCCCTTTCTCCCACCTCCCCTTCTCATGTATCCCCCCCTGGAACCATCGGTCCTGTTCTTTCAGTCTCCAAGTAGCTTATCCTGCCTATCTTATCTAGATAGACATGCAGAGACAGTAATAAGTGCAAAAACCAGGCCAAACAAAACAGCAAAGGAAGTAAAAACCAACAAAACAATAAACAACAAAAAGAAAACCACTGACAAAAATGGAAAAGCCTATAAATAGTTAAAGGCCTGTTTGTTGCCAATCGAGTGTTTTCCAATCGAGTCTGATGGGGTCCCATACTCTGTTTTCAAAGTCTATTTTTGGTATTCCTGGGGGATTTCATCACTTTGCTCCCCTGGCTGCTCTGTTGCATGCCCTTAGTGTTTCACCCCAGTGCAATGGGGTCAGATTGGACACAATTCCTGCACTGTGTCTCCAGTGTTGTCCCCGCAATACTATAGTTCAGTGAAGGACGTTGTGTATCGTGGTGGGGCCGGCCCTATGGTCCTCTCCGTGCATTGTCTTCTCTGAGCAGGAATATCGTCCTTAGGACTTGGTGGACCAGGATGTGTTCCCCTCTTGCTCTCTCCCTCTTTGTTTCTCCTGTGTGCTCTAATCAGATGTGCCCCTCTCCCCAAGCTGTAGCTTCAGTGCTGTCCTCTGAAGTCCATTCTTCTGGGGAGGGGAGTGGTGTCCACATAGTTGGGATTGAGCTGTCCCCGCAGCAGTGTCTCCATTTTAAAGTAAGCCTCCAACACGTTGTCCACATGTACTAGACCACCCTTGATCTGCCCCCTACCTTCCTGGCCAACTTCCTGCCCTTGTACATCAAGATCCTGCCACCCCAGCTTTCTCACCATCCTAAGAGGCCAGCTGGCTTGGTTCCACCTCAGGACCTTTGCACCTGCTGTTCTCAAGGGCTGGGATGTTCTTTCTCCATGGCTAGCTTCTCTTGGCTCCTAACAGATCACCCTGTACTGTTGTCTCTGCCCCAGGCGCCATCAGTCCCTGTGCTTGTCTCTTCCAGTGTAACGGAAGTCACCTGAGAGGAGGCACCATGCACAACTTGCTCATCGCTGGGCCCCCAGAGCCTCTGTTGCTAACCTGTGATATGCGTCTCTCTTTGAGTAAACTCCAAAGTCCTTACAGAGGCGCATGAGGCTCCTCAGGATCCCCAGCACTGCCCTGCATGTGTCTGTCTGGCCTCCTCCATCCTCTCTGAAGGCCCATCTTCTTCTTCGCCTGCTCACACTTTCCTTGCACCGTGGCCCCCAGTGCCCACTGGACACTGGAGAGGACTTCAAGTCTGTGAACACATCCCGTTGTCTTCTGATGCCACTTTCCCCACAGACTTTTTGAAGCCCCTCCTGTGTTCTGAGTGCTTGTACTTGTGGCCTCATCTCCTCAGCCACGGGCTCAGCCCCTCACTTCCTACAGTTCTTGGCTAAAATGTCACTGTGTTAGTCTGGGTAAACTAGGGAAACAAGTCCACAGAAAGTCATATGTGTAAGCGAGAGTTCTATATAAAGGGTAAGTGTACATTAAGAAAGCCTCCCAAACCAGTGCTGTCCAAGCCCATAAGTCCAACATTAGCCTATATGTCTGACACTAATGTACAAAGTCCTCCTCCATCTCACAAAACACACGCAATGACACTGACAGCAGGAGGAAAGCCGAGTCAGTGAGTGTGTAAGCATCTCAGCGCTGGCAGGGGTCTCCACACGGCTGCTCCAGCACTCAGGGCTGCATCAGGGTAGGTCCATGTGGCTTCTCCTCAGGGATGTCTTGCAGGAACTCAGCCTTGCCAGCTGAAGCAGGGAACTGGCTAAGGCAGCTGCACCGTGGTTGGACCATCGCAAAGCAAGAGACCCGAGAACTAGAAAGGCGAGGCTCACCGAGCCATTTATCTCTCTGCCCTTCGATTAATCCCACATGTGTTTATCAGCCAGGTTGGCACAATAAACTTTAACTATCTCAGTCACCTTCTCAGGGAGTTTACTCACCTGCCATTGGCACTACTCTCTCCTCTTTTGTGTTTCCAGAGAGCATTTACCTTCTGACAGCCTGTCTATTGTGCATGTCTATTTTTTATCCAGAATACAAACTCCATGAAGGCAGAGATCTGTGCCTGCTTTGGGTTCGTGGCTGTATGCCCAGAACCTGGAACAAGGTCAGATGCAGCATAGATGCTTAATCAATATGAATCCACTGAGCTGTTCTAACAGCAGCCCGTGTATTTCTCATTGGGTTCTCCACATAACCTAAGAGATGGCTCCTGTTCTTCTACTTAATTTATAGCCAAGGGAGTGAGGCACACACAGGTTAATGACTAGGGGAGTGGGTGGAGGATCTAGATGCAAATGTGGCCCTGGAGCCCAGTATCTACTGGCTCTAGAAAGGAACGCTTTCTGTAGGAAGACAGGGAGAAAAGCCGCAGTAAGGACAGGAAAGGAGGAAGGCAGAACAGGTGGAGGGTCTATGGTGGAAGAGAGAGAAACTCCTGGTCTAAGGCAGGGGTCGGCAGCCTTTTGGGATGGAAGAGCCGATCCTGTCCCCCACAACAATTTAAAAATGATCAGAGAGCCATAAATATATGTTTACAAACAAATGAGATCACCATTATCTGAATATCCTCTGCATTTTTCCACTTGACTTCAGAGCCACGTGTAGGTACTGAAAGGGCTGCACAGGGCTCTCGGACCACTGTTGGACAACCCCTGGTCTGATGTGACCCCACACCTTGATGGTAGCTATTCATGCAGAAGAACGCTAAGAGAACCTAATCCCTGCCGCCGAGTTAACTTCTTAGACATCAGGCTCGTAGAGACCAGGGATGAATGAATCTGATGGGGGCTTAAGGAGGTTGGCGCAAGGAAACCAGGATTATAATGTGACTAATACGCCGGTTGGTGGGTTTCTCTTTGGAAGGCGTATCCCTGTGTCTGAACGTTTGGGTGACAGACCTCGCTGTGGCCTGGGATTGGCTGGAATACTGGCTGGGGCCCACTGGACAGATGGCACAGTGGGGCAGGATCTTCTGTTTTGTCGTGCGTAGGATGAGCTTAATGCCACCTCAGGGAGTTGTCTCGGGTACTAAGTGGCCTTGTAAATATTTGAAAACAGTGTCTCCCGCTCAGTGAGGGCCTGAGAAGCAGCCACTGGTTTTCCCGCAGCAAGTCATGTTTGGTTCCTGTGTTTTGAAGCCTTCTTTTTGGCTCAGAATTCCACAGTTCTGTTTTCCAGCTCTCTCTTTCCTGAGACCTCGGTGAATCACACCGGGCCACAGGCAGGGATGGCACGTGGCCCTGGAAAGCCCCATGCCCCAGTGTAAGAAAGGCCCTGTGAGTGCCGGTCGGTCGTTTCCGCCCCCAGAATCTGCGGCTGCGCAGGCTGCTACCCGCTCTCAGTGCCTGTCTGGGGCACCTGGCTGGACCATGAGATTTTGTAGTGTAATCCCGATGTCTTGCTAACCCTCTTGCTCATTCAAATCCTGCCCTGGCCATCAGAGCTCTGGGTTTCTGAGCCTGTAGACTCCCTTCCCCAGGGTGTGTTCAAGGCCAGGGGTCCTCAAACTTTTAAAACAGGTGGCCAGTTCACTGTCCCTCAGACCCATTGGAGGGCTGGACTATAGTTTTTTTTAAAAAAAAAACTATGAACAAATTCCTATGCACACTGCACATATCTTATTTTGAAATAAAAATCAAAACGGGGCAAAAACACCCTGCAGGCCGGATAAATGTCCTCGGCGGGCCGTATGTGGCCCGCGGGGCCGTAGTTTGAGGACCCCTGCTCTAGGCTGCCTTGCTGCCTTCTCATCTCGGCAAACAGAAGAGCACGAGCCTCCTTTGAGATCACCAGAGCACCCGAGTAAGCCCTGCCATCAGAGGGTCACACCCACGAGGGGAACCGGCCTCCCGAGGGAGGACTCCAGGAGGGTGGGACATCCTGGTGGTCTTCTCTGCTCCCGGAGGCATCCAAATTGTTGGGAGTTTACGCACCTGCTGTTGCTGAGTTGGATGCCCTGAGGGCCATGGCTTTCTTTGGGGTTTAAAGAGGTCACAGGCCCTGGGTGGTGGAGTAGGGGACTTGAGTGCAGGTAGACCTTTGTGCTGGTCGTCCCAGTGCCAAGTGTCACTACCCTTATCCTCTTATTCCTATCCCAAGTCATACTCACCTCTCTATAACCGCGTCTACACTGGCCCTTTCCAACGCAAACCTCTGTCTGTATTGTGGAGCCTACAGAGGGGGTCTGAAAGAAAGGGGAGCAGGGCTGAGATGGCGAGGATGTGGAGAGGCACATTTTAGAGTTCATAACGCCAAAAGTATCAATAAAAGTCAAGCCATCCTCATCGCTTCTGCCATTATTGTTCTTCGCGTAGCGCATGGCTTGTGGATTGAGCCCCGTCTGCTAGCTTCCCTGCATGTCGTTCTTTCTTGCTCCTTCCTCTCAGTGGGAATGTCAGCCTGGCCAATCCTCTCCGTTCCTGTCTCGGAGAGTCTTTCTTTTGTGCTCCCTCTTGGAATTGCGTTAGAATTTTATTACGTTGGTTTATGGTGTGATGTTAGAATAGTATCCTAGATTGCAAGAATGCGGTTGGTTGCCTGCACTCAGCACCCTGAAGAGATGTTCTGGTTGGGTGGTTACGATGGAGGTGCCTTCTATCTGTTGAAGTTGTATTCCTTTGCTTGCACGCGCACTGTGCCCCTGCCCCCTCTGCTTCCAAGAGCGTGTTTTGTCTTTGCCATACCAGTCTGCAGCCGAAGGGGAAGGTTACGCTTCGTCCTCCTGCTCAGGATGCTGTTCCTGTAGAGCCTCGGTTCTGGAATCCCCTGGTGGTTTCAAACTGCCAACCTTAGGCTAAGGGTGAAGCCCGTTGCGACTCCTGGCCTTATATAAGGGGCTTCACTTCCAATTCCCCACCTGATATAAACAGAAGCCATTGGTCCCTGTAGGGAACCCTAGGGGCATAGTGGCTATGAGTTGGGCTGCTAATCGCAAGGTTGGCGGTTTGAAACCACCAGTGGTTCCTCAGGAGAGAGATGAGGCGATCTACTCCAGTAGAGAGGCACAGTCCTGGGAACCCACAGGAGCAGTTCTGCCAGGTCCCATAGGCTGCCATGGGCTGGCACTGACTCAGCGGCAGGGAGTTTGGTTATTTGTTTTGGTGCCTGTATCCATACTAAAGCCCAGGCTCCTCCTCCTTGAAGACGGCCACCTCCCACTCCCCGACGGGAGCAGCTGCAGAATTAACTCGAGTGCTTCTCCTTTTCGGTTCCTCTTTTGTGTCTGGCTTGTAGGGATTTTCCTTACTACCCTGCACATTCAACATTCAAAGTAGTTTTTAATATTATTTATCTAGTTGTCTTCTAGCGGAGGGGTTTCACCAGATTGTTGGAAGCTAAGTCTTCCTCCCTAATCTCTGACTCAAAGCTTTCTTCAGCCCTGTGAAGTTATTCCAGGCGGGACACGGTAGGGGGTGAGGTGATGGTCTTTAGATCCTGCCAGAATGGTCCACAGGCTGTTAAAAACTGGAGAAGCACTGACCTAGCGAAACCTCAGAGCACCACATCCCCCTTTCAGCCCAGCAACCTGGGTGTTGCTCTGAAGCTGGAAATGGCCCATCGGGACACGATGTCTACTGCGATGTTTCAGAACCGGTATGACACATGCTCTCCCAAAACAGTGACAAGAGACACACGATGGAGACTACATGAAGGACTTAAGCCACACGAAATATGTGTCTTCCTGGGTCACACAGAGAGCTGTTTGCTCGTGGGTTCCAGATTAGTACTGACCCGAACGCCGGCGTTCTGTCCCTGCAGACTGTTCCTGGGCGCGGACGTCATCGCCAGTAGCACGCCCACCAAAGAGCAGCCCAAGTCCACGGCCAGCGGGAGCTCCGGCGAGAGCCTGGACTCGGTCAGCGTGTCATCGTGCGAGTCCAACCACTCGGAGGTGGAGGGGGGCTCCATCACGCCCATGGACACGCCCGACGAGCCCCCCAAAAAGGTAGGCGTTTAATCTCATCCCAGAATCCCCAGCGCAGTTGTCGACACGGCACGTGCCCCTCCAGGAAGGTCCGTTGGCAGAGTCACGAGCTCCACCCAGGGAGCTGTCAGCCGGAGGCCGCGACTGCGGGACTGTGATGGCCCCCTGCACATCCCCAGCGCAGGAAAGATTGTGTCCTCCCTGTGAGCCGGGCTGGAGGTAGGAGAGGTGGGAGGGTCCTAGAGGTGCGGGAGCTCCGTGGTGTCGGGCCACAGCAATGTGCCGTAACAAGCCTACTCCAGAATTCCATGGCCTGGACGCTGGGAAGGCTGAGCAACTGGTCATGACAATTCCGTCTACCAGATGGGGGAGAGCAGAGAGGAGACAGAAGTGTCGGGAAGGGATGGAGGAACTGCCGTAGAGAGATTTCATGTTCCGGGGCTGCACAGAGAACCGACAAGAAGCCAAAGGACCAGTCTGAATCTTCTAGAGGCATCTGCTTCAAGAGACTTAACCAATCACCCAAACCAGGCCCACTGCCATGCAGCCAATTCTGACTCGTAGTAGCCACACAACAGAGGGTTTCCGAGAGGGTAAATCTTTACAGTAGCCAACAGCTGGTTTTGAACCACTGACCTTGTGGTTAGTAGCCCAGCAGTTAACCCACCATACCACCACCGATTGGGGCAGTGTCTTGGCCAATTGGCAGGCTGTAGTCACCAATACACACCCTAGCCTGTTTGTGTCAGTGAGGTGGCGACAGGATTGTATCCTCCTCTCTGCACAGGGACCCAGGGGTTGTTTCTCACCAGGGCACTGAGGTGCTGTAAGCAGCACCATGGCCCTGGGACCCTTCAAGGGACTGTCACAAAATAGCCAGCCTAGAGACGGGCTCTGGCCTCGGGCTCAGGGCTCATCATCATGAAATACCACAGCAACTGCCCTGTTGGGCTTCTCACCTTTCTGCTCTACAATCTGGGATGGGGTGCAGGGGTGGGATGGGGATGGGGAGCCCTGCTCCCTGCACAGATACTGAAGGAATAGGAAGCCCCACAAAAGACCCACCTCCTAAACCGGGGATGTGATCCGTCTCCACGGCCTGGCCTGCAGCGTGGATTCCCCAGGTCCTTGTGCACTGAGGCCCGGCCTCTGATGATGGCTGTTGCCTGAAAGAGACCCCTGAGGCACAGCCCATATCCCTGTGAGGAGAACGGGGTCACAGTCACACTCTGGCGGGATCCTGCTGCAGAGCCCTGCATCGTGTGGTCTGTGCGCCTGGGGCGCCAGCCTCTGCTCGGGCTGGCATTACACTGGCATTCCAATTTCCTGTTAAGTCTCATATATATATATATATATATGTATATATATATATATAATGTTTTAAGCTTCGGATAAATTTTTCTCAGAGTCACAGATTTTTATGCTTAAAAGTGAGTTATTGCCTTGGTTGCAAGTATTCCCAGGACTGCAGAGTCCCTAGACATGAACTATAAAGGCCCCGTGTTCCAGCCCCAACCCCCTGCTCACTCGACCCCAAGGACCTGCCTTCGTCCCCTGAGATCCGTGACGCACCTCCCTCCCCCACTGCCTCCCTGCGGCGCCTTCCTTTCCCACAGTCTAATCCAGTGGTTCTCAACCTTCCTCATGCCGTGACCCTGTAACGCAGTTCTTCATGTGGCGGTGACCCCAAACCATAAAATTGCTTTCGTTGCTTCTTCATAACTCATGTCGCTACTGTTATGAATCAGACGACCCCCAGAGGGCTCACGACCCACAGGTTGAGAACTGCTGGATCTGTTTGCCAAAATGTGACCTGCTAAGTTGATTCACACGTAGTTGATTCACGCAGGAACCACACACACATACACACGCGCGCGCGAGCGCACACTGGGGTAAAACGTGTGTCAGACCTGCCACATCAGTTAGCTGGCTCTTTAATTAAGCAAAGCACACAGAGGAATTTTATGATCCACTATGCTATAGGAAAAGAAGTCCACAGGAAATACCACTGCACGAATTTCACTTTACTAGAGCACCTGGAAGCTGAGCTTGGTTTCTATGGCAAGTCTGACAAGTGTAAAAGAAATGGACGTTATTTATATTTAAATAAATCACTTTGGGATTTTTTTTTGGTAGGGTGAATGTGGTGTGATTCAACCTAACCCCTTAAAGAAATAATTCATCACTGTCTACAGTATGAATTGGTATTTTAAATGATTCCATTTTATGGGGGTGTGTGCGAACGCCTACTAATGCGTTTTTGTTGTAGTGGTTATGCATTGGGCTGCAATCCTCATGGTCAGCAGTTCAAAACCACCAGCAGCTCCTGGGGAGAAATATTGGACTTTCTACTCCTGTAAATAGCTACAGTCTCAGAAACGCACAGGGGGTCCCCATGAGAGGCCGTGAGGGACGAGGGGTTTGAGTCATCCTCTTTGGTCCCTGGCAATGCAAGTGTGCTACGCACATGGTTAATCAGAACAGCAAGGTAGCCACTGCCCCTTGGCCTTGCCTGCCCTTGATATGCAACCTGACATTGTGTGGTTGTCACTAGCAGAAGTGTGCAAAGGGTCCCCAGTGTCCAGAGGCTGTCACTTTATTTCTCTGAACTCATTCTTCGTGTCTTTATTATGCTCTGCTTTGGGCCCCCAAGATGGTGTGAGGCTCAGATGGGAGAAGGTAGATGGCAAGCCCGACAGACGCCTCTCAGCGCAGTGAGCGTTGCCGAGTACTGACAAGCTGACGGTGTGAACTTGGAGCCCCACTGACGCCCTCTGGGTCTCAGCTCCTCCATGCTAAAACAGGAGGAGAGCTGGGTGAGGTCTCCCAGGGTCTTCCCAGACCTAATGTTCAGTGCTGAGCTATATAATCGGTAGTGCTTATTTTAGGAACTTCCAAAACACACATTTCTCTTGCTGGACAAAATCTGGTGTTGAACTAGAATCAGGATGGAAGTCATCATGCTCAGCACTGTCCCCACTAGAGTCAGTGGGCCTCTGTAATCTGATGGTACAGGCTTTCCGCCAGCCTGGTGCCTGGTGAGCAGCAGCTTCTCTGGAAACCGTCTTCACTCTAGTTTCAGGGGTCTGCTGCCACCTGCTGGTGTATGTCCTTAAGAGCAGCTAAAAACTATCGCCCAGGGACAGGGTGTAGGGTGTGTGTGTGTGTGTGTGTGTGTGTGTGTGTGTGTGTGTGTGCCCAGGGACAGGGTGTAGGGTGTGTGTGTGTGTGTGTGCACGTGCGCTGAACTTTGTCCATTAAAAACTATCCCCCAGGGACAGTGTGTGTGTGTGTGTGTGTGTGTACTGAACTTTGTCCATTGCCACATCTCCCTCTGCTTTGAAAATGGCAGTGCAGTCTTTCAGTCGAAGCTCTAACCGTTGTGATATTTGGGGTGGGGTGCTTGCTTTTCCAGCTCTCGGAATCCTCCTCCTCCTGCTCCTCCATCCATTCCATGGACACAACTTCCTCAGGGATGTCGTCCTCAGTCAACCCCCTGGCCTCTCCTCCCCCCTGCCACAGCAACCCCAAGCTGCACAAGCGCTCCGTCTCTGTGACCTCCATCACCTCGGCAGGGCTGCCCCCGGTGTACAACCAGCAGAACGAAGACACGTGCATCATCCGCATCAGCGTGGAGGATGACAACGGCAACATGTACAAGAGCATCATGGTAATTCAGGGGCGCGGTGGGTTGGGCCCACGTCTCCAGCCAGCCGACGCACCCCCCTGTGTGTGAGTAACACACACACACACACACACAGCATAGGAATGCCAGCTCCCCCGAGTGTGTCTGTGTGGAAGCATCCAGACCTGGTGCTGCAACAGCACAGCATGAAGCTGAAGTTCAAGGTCAGTGGTGGTACTTGGTAGGTGCCGTGGAGAAGTTCCGACTCACAGCAGAACGAAACCCTGCCCAGCCCTGTGCCTTCCTCAGAAGGGTTCTTAAGTTTGAGCTCATTGGTGCAGCCCCTGTGCCAATCTGGTCGAGGGCTGCCTTCTTTTCTTGCTGACCGTGTTAGTCTGAGTGGACTAGAAAAACAAATTCATAGACACGTTCATAGGTGTATAAGGAATAGGTTTATCTACAAGAGCAGTTGAATATTGAGAAAACATCCCAGCCCAGTCCAGACCAAGTCCATAAGTCTGATATTAGCCCATATGTCTGATTCTGATGTATAAGGTCCTTTTTAGACTCACGAAACACATGCAATGACACTGAATGCAGGAAGCTCAGTGGCCAGCTGATGCAAAGTCTTGTGGTGGTAGAAGCATCTCAGGTTCTACCAGTGGCGGTGGAAGCATCTCAGCACTGCCAGGGATCTCCACATGGCTTCTCCAGTTCCCAGGGCACTGGGTTTATCAGCGTAGTGCCATGTATCTTGTCAGTAGAGCGTCTCTCAGGGAGTGAGGAGAGAACGAGTGCCTCCCACCCCCAAGGAGGAAATACAGGAGCTCCCAGGATCCTTAAGGGAAGGCCATGCCCACACAGAGGCCTCATTGGCTACGACTCAATTGACAGACTAGATTCCACCCCTTCACTCTTAACCCTCTCAAGTCCCAAATTGACACCAGCTGATGTAAGCACCACTCTGAGCTGCTTTCCCAGGCACAATGTCCTTCTCCAGAGACTGCCTCTCCTGAGGAAATGTCCGAAGTACTTGACACAGAGTCCCGCAGTCTTTGCTTCGGAGGCACATATTGGCTGTACTTCATCCAACACCGATGTGTCTGTTCTTCTGGCAGCCCATGGCACTTTCAATATCCCTTGCCAACACCGTCATTCAAAAGCATCCACTCTTCTTCAGAATTCCCTATTCACCTGCATAAGAGGCAACTGAGCATACCATGGCTTGGGTCAGATGCACCTTAGTCCATTCTCAAAGTAACCTCAAAGTTAACAGTTAAGAGCTACCTCCAAGCTTCTACACACAAGGTTGGAGGTTCTAATCCACAAGTGGTTCTGTAGGAGAGAGGAGCAGGCAGTGTGCTCCCACAGAGGTCTCCACCTAGGAAACCCTCTGAGGCAGTTGCCCTCTGGCTTGCGGAGGCCCTCTGAGTTGGCTGTACTCACCAGCAGGCAACACCAGTGCACGCAAGGAATAGTTTCCGCAGCTTAAAATAATCAAAACGTATCCATCCAGGTTGTCAGGGTCACCTCTTTCAAAGCCAGCCATTTGAATGACTATATAATTATCGCAGAGAAGATGCACTGCGTCTCCCCTTCTTGGAAGTCTTCCTGTGGAATCCTGCACCTGGCTTTATCGTCGAATGTCCATGCATTCATGGAAATGAACTGCGTGCTGTTGAATGCCTGTCCGTCAGTCATTCTGAATCCATTCAGCGAGTGAGGTGGAACAAGCTGAGTCAGTGAGGAACTGTGCCGATCGAGGAGAATGCACTTTCTGAGCTATTGCTGAACTGGCTGGCTGGCTTTGACGGCAAATGCCCAATCGTGACAGTCGCTTCGGGCACACATAGAGCGTCTCCTGATGCTCGCTTTGCGTGTGTTTGTGACATGATCATGTCGAGAACAGTCCCCATATTTCACAGAGCACATCACATGCTACAATGCCTCTCTCCCTCGGCACGAAAACCACAGCAAGTTCCGCCTCTCTCCTCACCTTTGCCCCTCGAGTTCTTTGAGGGGACCCCAGCACTTCAAACTCAGCCCCAAATATAACATCCGTGGGTCTGGAAGGGTTAACTCTCCGTATTCTAAAAAGAAAGCTCTTTGCTTTCATGCATTCGTTGGATGAACATACCATTTGTTGTACTGGTCATTGGGTGAGGGTCTGGAGACCAGGCAATGAAGAAGACATCTCTGACATTAGGGAGCTTATAATCCAAGGGGGGATGATAAAGCATCCTTCAAAATGTAGCATTCACTGTATTATAGATCTAATGTAGGCTAGATTATAAAGCTCCCAAAGCCCTGATGAAAGAATTTGTGCTACTCCCACGGGCAATAGGGACTTAACAGAGATCTTTAAATAGACACGAGGTTTGCATGTTAGAAAACTAAGTGGCATTTTGGAGACTTGATACCGCGTGGAAGTGGGAGTAGCTTGGCAGTCAGAAAACAAGGGAGGATGCTGTAATAATGTTCTATGTGGGAGACTAGGAAGTCCTCCATCAGAGTCAAGTGGCTGGATTTGAGAAAACATTTTAGTCAGTGGAAACCTAGGACCAATGCATTTAGTCACCAGTGTTTTGGTTACTACTGTGGGGGGGCGGGGTGTGTGTGCAAAGGCTGTGCAGGCAGCACGATGGTTGGTGGATCTGCTAACTGATAAGCGACAGCTTTGGGAACATTTAAATTGAATGTGCAGATGGGACATCCAGATGGCATCCTCTGAGAGATGGGCAGAAACACAGGTGGTTCTAAGGCTAGCTGGGAGCCCTGTAGTCCCATGGAGGGGTGTGGTCATGCAGGGATGGAGTGAGTACAGATGGAGACTGAACTCAAGGGATGCCGAGGAGGGACTGAGTAAGGACAGCCAGAGAGTTGGGAGAACCACAGAAGCCCAGGCCACCAGAGTTGTGATTGTATTCCCAATGTGGGCTGCTCCCCTAGCTTCTCTTACCTAGCCCAACCAGAGAAGGAAATTCTACCCCCGTAGCTCTACAATGTGCTTTGGGACAGTGAGAAGCTTGATCAATGTGTAGATTCTGTGGGGAGACAACTCTGAGCCCATGAGATCTTTCACAAATTCCTGCTGTGCGGAAGAATCTCAATTTGTGTTTGAGCATAAGTGTTGGGGGCATGGGTGACAGGGCAGAGGGTGGTTAACAGATGACCCCCAGAACCCTTCCTCGGCGCGTTGGCTGCCCACGTGGTCATCGCTCCTTCGGCCAACCCCTTCTTAATACTTACATAGCACAGAGGGGCAAAAATCATGCTGGCCTTCCGACGGGCTCGTTCCCAATGGACAACCCAGGGCTCTAAAGAGAAGCACTGCACCAAGGGGCTTCGCCTCCAGGAATTTATTTTACTCTGTGCACGAGAGCAGAATGGAAATAACTCAACCTTGGTGTGGGCGAGCGTAGCTGTTCTTAAATTTTTTGATCACAAGACCCTTTTACATCCTCAGTAACCACTTGTAAATGCCCTTCCTGTATGCCCTTACCCCCCCCCCCCCCCCCCCCCCCCATTCCCACCACTCTTAAGTAACAGTTCCTTTCGCTAGGTCACTGGAGGCTCCTGGACTTCCGGTGACCATGACCATTCTGTGCCCTGCTGTGTGTGTGTGAGAAACACCCTCACTGCAGCACTGCCCCGTGGGCACACTAGCCACAGGCCAGGGGCAGCTCCCGGGCACTTGTCCATACTGAGGTGTGCTGACAAATGAATTTTGAGGATTTAGTACAAAAAAATTACACTATATCAACAACAAGGTATGTGTGGGTTATATGCTGAAATAATACTCTGGATGTATTGGCTTAAGTTATTGAAATTTAAAAATCTGTCTGGGGTTCTCATGCTTCTGTTGGACAGCATTGGTCCGCTGACATGGTTGAGTGGCTGCTATGAATCGTGACCAGCTTTTGGGGCGCAAAGTAGTAAATATCCCAGGAAAACCCTGGGCCCTCCTGTGTTTGTTTGGACACATCTGTGGAAGCTGGAGGTTCCCCAAAACAACAACCCTTTTAAGCTAGACGACTTAAACCCTATGTAACCGCACATTGGTCCTGAGTGGTGGATTTTCTCTTTGAACTTTATGCTGCAAGTTCAGTTAGAGCCAGCTGTGGGAGGACTTCCTTTATATGCTCCAGGAACATAGTTTCCTCCTTTCAAAGTTTGTGTACACCTGCTTTGCCTGTGTAAGGGGATATGCCAGATGTTCTGGTCATCGACAAATGAGCAAGGTCTTTATTCCTTATAAGGCGCCCATTGTCCTGGACACTGTTTCCCGAGACACAAGTGCCAGCTGTGGGCCCAGGCAGAGGACAGCTGCCCAGCACAGGCAAGTGGAGGCTCTCAGTGGCAAGGCTTCCGAGAGGAACAGCCTTCTCCTGTTTTGCTTCTCTCTTGAAGGTTTTCTTTGGTGAGAAGAGATTTTATTGTCAAGTAAGAGTAGCCTGTGTTTCCATTTGCTGTCTTTCCGATGTGAAGAGAAGCTCACTGAGTGGCATCCAAGCCAGCCCTCCGTTCCCATTGCCCTGGCCACCTCGCTGGCTGGTGGGCAGAAGGGGCAAGTGGGGCGTATGGAGAACCGTGGCTGGGCTTCAAGAAATGGTTCTTAAGATGTGAACACGCAGAAGCTGATTGTTACGAAAGACGAATGGATGTGAAATCATGTAACTAAAGCATTTGTTCTCTGGCCCACAGTAGCTATGTCCATCTGTGCGACACCATAAAGATCTAGGTAGAGAACATTTCCATCCCTCCAGAAAGTGCCCTTGTGTCCTTTCCCAATCAGTCCTTCTTTAACCTTCAGATGAATTTCCTAACGCCATGATTAGTTTTGTCAGTCCTTGTAAAATAGACTCGTGTAGCATGTGATGTTTTGAGCCTGGCTCCTTCTGCTTACCATGATTTTTTTAAAATCATTTTATTGGGGCTCATTCAACTCATCACAATCTACACATACATCAGTTGTGTAAAGCACACTTATACATTCATTGCCCTCATCATTCTCAAAACACTCGCTTTCCGCTTGGGCTCCTGGAATCAGCTCCTCATTTTTCTTTTTTTCCCTCCCCCCTCCCCCCTTGATCCCCCCTCCCTCATGAACCCTTGATAATTTATAAATTATTATTTTACCCTATCTTACACTGCCAACATCTCCCTTCACCCACTTTTCTGTTGCCCATCCCCCATGGAGGAGGTTATATGTAGATCCTTGTAATCGCTTCCCCCTTTCTACCCGCCCTTCCCTCCTCCCTCCTGGTATCACCACTCTCACTACTGGTCCTGAGGGGTTCATCTGTCCTGGATTCCCTGTGTTTCCTATCTGCACCACTGTGCATCCTTTGGTCTAACCAGGTTTGTAAGGTAGAATTGGGATCATGATAGTGGGGGTGGGGTGGGAGGAAGCATTTAAGAACTAGAGGAAAGTTTGTGTTTCATCAATGCTACGCTGCACCCTGAGTGACTCATCTCCTCCTCACTACCCCTCTGCGAGGGATGTCCAGCTGTCTACAGATGGGCCTTGGGTCCCCATCGCGCACTCCCCCTCATTCACGAAGAGATGATTTTTTTTCTTTGGTGCTTGATACCTGGTCCCTTTGGCCCTGCGTGATCACATGGGCTGGTGTGCTTCATCCATGTGGGCTTTGTTGCTTCTGGGCTAGATGGCAACTTGTTTACCTTTAAGCCTTTAAGACCCCAGATGCTATATATCTCGATGGCCAGGCACCCTCAGCCTTCTTCACCACACTTACTTATGCACACATTTGTCTTCAGCGTTTATGTGGGGAAGGTGAGCACACAATGATGGTTCTTGTTCTTTGGTGTCTGCTGCCTGATCCCTTCATCACCTCTGTGATCACACAGGCGGGTGTGCTTCTTCCCTATGGACTTTGTTGCTTCCGAGCTAGTTGGCCGCTTGTTTACCTGAAAGCCTTTATGACCCCAGGCACTATATTTTTTGATAGCTGGGCACCATCAGCTTTCTTCACCACATTTGCTTATGCACCTGCTCTGTCTTCAGAGATCACGTCGGAAAGGTAGGTATCATGGAATGACTGTTTAGTTGAGCAAAGTGTTCTTGTATTACGAGTGCGTGAGTCTTACCATAATTAAAAAACAATTTTTTTCGTTCACATTGTTCCATGTGTCAGCTGTTGGTGTTAGGGGTCATAGTTCTGACTCCAGCATCACGCCAGACCACACTGCTGTCCTGCGCCCTCCTCACAGTTCTTCCCATGTCGGAGCCCATTGTTGCAGCCACGGTGTCAGTCTCTCTTGTTGAGGGTCTTCCTCTTTCTCACAGACCTTCTCCGAGGTCTGGTCCCTCCTGACAATGCACCCAAAGTCTGGGAGATGGTGTCGCCATCCTCCCTACTCGTTGCTTCTTTAATTGCTAATAAATGTTCTCCTGTGCCTAGACTCTAATTTATTTCTTTCTCCCTCCTCCTGTTCATAGAGATTCGGGTTTATTTATTTATTTTTATCTTTTAACCATAACCAGTAAGTCTGATAGGACCATTTGTGTATAAGTCACTTTCTCAGTTCCTGCCAAGGAGTGGACTGCTCGATCAATGGGTCACTTGGACTTTCTGAAATGGCCAATGAGCAGGCCCTCAATGATGACCAGGGCTGACAGCAGGAGCTCTGCACCTGTGAGGTGTACCTGCCCAGAACTAGTGATGCTCTCTGATTTCCTGATTGAACTTCATTGAACTTCAACTAGGGTGAGGGAGATGGGCAAGGCATGAGAGTCCTCTCCGCTTTAATAGGGAAGGACACGCTAGCTCTCAGAGATGGAGTGACTTACCCATCGTTCCTAGAACCCACGAATGCCGAGCCTGGGCCTCGTTCCTATTCCCAGGACCTGCCTCCTCTGAAAGGCTTGCACAGCCCGAGGAGGTGAGAAGAAGAGGTTCAGGAGAACCTCCAGGGAGACAGAAGCCAAGCACTTCACACGCCCTCTCCTTGTCTTTCCAGTTGACGAGCCAGGATAAAACGCCTGCCGTGATCCAGAGAGCAATGCTGAAGCACAATCTGGACTCGGACCCGGCCGAGGAGTACGAGCTGGTGCAGGTCATCTCGGAGGACAAAGGTGGGCTGCTTGTACACTGCTCTTCAGTTCTGCAAGGCAATGTGGACGCAGGGTCTTTTTGAAGGGAGCCCAGTATGGGGTTCTGGTCATGATTGTTTATTCCCAGGCCACATAAACCCCTTTATTCAATGACGGGCTTCTGAGTTGTTCTACACCTGACAGCAATTCCAGTGATAACAGCTCATGGTTTTAGTGATTTCTTTATGAAATACTTTATTCTTGATTGACTTCAAACTGGCTAAGTTTCTAATGACAGAATTCGACGTTTCTATACCCCACACTGATTCTGTGTAGGAGCTGGGAGTCCTGGAAACACATCCACACCCCCTGGGAACTATTTAAAGAACTGGATTTTCGGAAGCCTGTTTCGGCGTATAATCTGTTCCCCTCCCTGAGATGTGCGCTCTGACTTGCATTGGGTTGTGCTTATTGAGAGAAGGGACAGGAGGTTGGAAACTCCCTAACCCTGTGATGGCGTAGGAAGTACTCAGCTGAAGACAGCTCTTCTCCGAATGTACAAAACCCCAAATTAAACCAAACCAAACTCACTGCCATCTAGCCGGTGACGACTCCTGTTGACCTAGACGACAGGGTAGAACCGCCCCTGTGAGTTCCCAAGACTATAGCTCGTTATGGGGGTAGAAAGCCCTGTCTTTCTCCCAAGGAGTGGTTAATGGTTTTGAACTGCTGGCCTTGTGGTTAGCAACCCACCAAGTAACTTACACCACCACCAGGGGAAAATGAGGAGCTGATGCCATGGGCTTAAGTGGAGAGCAAATGTTTTAAGAATGATGAGGGCAAAGAAAGTACAAATGTGCTTTACACATTTGATGTATGTATGTATTGTGATAAGAGTTGTATGAGCCCCCAATTTTAAAAAAAGTGGTCCCAACAACTTCGCAATGCTAATTTTGAAGAATGCATTAGAAAAACTTTCAACCAACCCATGAGCTACGTGCTCCAGCTCAGCATGTTGTGTCAATGAAGTGAAAGTCACACCGAGACTGCTAGAGATAGAAAATGCTACTGGGAACAGGTCAAGAGATGTTAACATGACATTCCCCTCCCTTCTTGCTCCCTCCTGAACCCTTGATAATTTATAAATTATTCTTTTGTCATATCTTGCTCTGTCCGACATCTCCCTTCACCCATTTTTCTGTTGTCCGTCCCCCAGGGAAGAGGTCACATGCAGATCCTTGTAATTGGTTCCCCCTTTCCACCCCACCCTCCCTCCACCCTCCCAGTACCGCCACTCTCAGCAATGGTCCTGAGGGGACCACTTTGTTTGAGGGGGAAGAGGGTTGGTCATTGTCTGGTTCAGTTCAGATTCCAAGGACAAAGGCTGTCACTCCATTTGCCCTGCCGCCGTCGATGCCGGGTGACCTACTAGGCTGACCACCTTCTCCTTGCCCATCTCTTTCAGAACTCGTGATCCCAGACTCCGCAAACGTCTTTTATGCCATGAACAGTCAAGTGAACTTTGACTTCATTTTACGAAAAAAGAGCCCCATGGAAGAGCAAGTGAAGCTACGTAGCCGGACCAGCTTGACCTTGCCCAGGACAGCTAAACGGGGCTGCTGGACCAACAGACACAGCAAAATCACCCTCTGAGGGGGCCGGGGGTGGACCAGGGCCCTGGCTGGTCAAGATAGGGCGGTCATGATTGCTCCTACCACCCAGTGTCAGGCTCCTCGGTGAAGTCAGATGTTTATCGAGGACTGACCGTGTGCGAAGCACTCGGATAGGTGCCGGAGGGAAAGAGGAAATGAATTTGACATGAGGAGATCCACACTCCCGCCTTGAGCCGCGTGACTCTGGAATGCAAAATTACCCACATTGAATAAATATAGATATGAGTATATGTGCATAAATATATGCACACACATACATATCTAATGGGATAATATATGAGTGTGTGTCTATACAGGGGACTTTGTGGGATATTCTGGACTTTGGGTAAACAAGTTTGCACAATGGCCTGGGAAGTTGAGGTCACTTTTCCAGGGAAATAAAAAGGAACCGCGAACATGGACTCACACCTTCTGAGTCAGCGGAATCGACCGGAGGAATCCCGAATATCCTTTATGCCAGTATTACAAGAACTCCACACTTTATTTTTATCAAGGGAGAGGAATATTTTATCTGTCAAGAGCAACTGCAGAGGCCCCGCCTTCCCCAGGCTGCATGAAAGGCCACTTTGGACAGGGCTGAGATGAGCCTGTGGCCTCCAGCCTCGGCCCACATCCGCCAGGACTGCTGCCCCAGGGAGGCCAGGAGGAGCCGCAGGGGCCTGCTCACACCCACCGCCCTGGCCACACTCTGAAGTTCACCAGAGCCATTTCCAAGCCCCAACAACCCCGTCGTCGCCTCTCAGTCCCCTCCCAACCGCCTTCCCACCCCTCCCCTTCAAGAACATGCCACCGCCGCTATCACACAAGTAGCTGTGCTCTGGTCACTTCATCAGCCAGGATAGAAACTGACGTGCGTGGACTCCCCGATGTCTTGGAATGCCACTGCTTCCTTGCCTTTCCCGAATGCCTTCTGCATGTCAAACAGCCCGGAGCCTCCCTGCCTTCTGTGCCTCGTGGGCAATGTGTTCTTCAGGTGGGGAGCCTCCCACCGCGACGGACGCTGCTTGACCATTCTGAGCCTGTGAGCGAGTTCTGAGGTGTGACGGCCCTGTCAGGAGCCCCTCTGCAGATGATGCCCCTGCTGACAGCAGCATCCTGTTTTCCCTACTAACTTTTATCGCATTGCGTGCCTAGTCGGAGGGGGACGAGATGGGACTGCTGATACGGCCTAGATGATTTCTTAAAGGGGTACTTCCTTCCAGATGGGATCAATAACTCTACCCACCACCCACCCCCAGCCCCAGGTCCCCACACTTGCTAGTACAGTGTCACCGTGGAGTGGCATTTTTGTCCACCATCACGCCGTGATGTTCTCCCTTCTGAACTTGAGCTGTGCCGGGGTCCGAACTAAAAAGCCATATGTGGGACGTTGGCGTGTCATAAGAAGCACTTTCTGAATATTGCCCTTTTTAAGAAAAATGATTCTCAAAATGCCACTTTTTATTCCAGAAATAAAAGGAAACGCACCCAGATGATGATGTGCAGACTCTAACGTGGAATTTCCCCCTTTTTTTTTTTAATAACTACTACAGCTCCCCCAAACGGTGTGGGATTTATGTTACGTAAATAGCCATACAATATCTGCAAGAAGCACGGGAAACATTGAGGGATTTGTGGCAAAGACCAAAGAATGAGAGTGGGAGAGGCCTCAAGAGGACTCGAGGTCTTTCCAGGAGGTGCCCCGGGCTGAGGCTGCTCGGAGTGCTTCGCGAGGGGCTTCGGGCCGTGCCGGGAGGAAGCGGAACCAGGGAGGCAGACAGAGTCTGATTGCCGGCACGAAGTCAAGGCAGCCGCAGCCAGATTCGTCTATACTTTGTATTTTGGTTTGAAGACGGTGAACTGTCAGCCTGGTTTGGGGTGTGCCCACTGAGACGTATGTGCTGTGCCCTTGTGCTCCCCTGTGTATTTATACTGTATATGTAGAGTCTAGATTTATATACTGCGATGTAAAAAATATATATATTTTCCTTTTTTAAAAAGACCATGGAAATTCCAAGTAGATTAAAAGAAAGTCTCATTTATTTAATGCCACTCTAAATGTCTTCAGTGTACCCCCGGTGGACAGCGGGCCATCTTCCAGCTGCTCCCATGCTTGTCTCTCTGCCTCTCCATCATCCGTTTCCCTTTTTGGTTACATTAATAAACAGGCTTGCGCGTCAGTTGCCATCAGACTCAAGGAGACTGTGTTTGGACTGTTGATTTGGTGGGCTCTGGGTGCCAGGTACCCCGGCCAGCTGTACTAGAAGCCACTCTGGGCTGATTGGAGGGAGCACAAGGAAAGCGCGTGGTGATGTCCGGAGACGAACTTGGCCCTGTGAGCATCATGAATGTGGGGGTGGGTGGCATGCCTGTGATGCTGCAGTCAGATACGATCCCTTTCAGGACAGTTACTCTCAGGAGTTGTGCAGCGGGACGCTTTCTACAGAGTCCACTGTCGGGAGGATCCAGCCAAGATCCGCCTTCACCCTGACAGCCTCTCCCCCTCTCTGGGATTGCTCTCACCTGAGGAATTTGAAAAACAAAAGCCAACTTTGTATTTTGAATTAGGTGGGGCTTCACCTACCAGATGATCATTTTGGTCTTCTATTGCTTTCACAACTAAGCAGTTCTCCCAATAGCTTTCCATGCTTCCTCCCCCCTTCCCTATCTCCTTCATCGAGTGCACACCTGTCTAGCCTCCACCCTATTCCTCACCCCTCTTTTCCCTTCCCACCCCTTTTCTGTGTAGACACCCTCAGGGTGAGGGGCAAGGAGCCCTGCACCCCACATTCCTCGCAGCGCGGTCCATAGGAGCAAGAAGATGGGAACGACGTCACAGTCCATCCGCAGAAGCACGTCACCGTGGGTACAGACACAGTGGCATGTATGACACTGAGTAGTAATTCTTGAGACCTTCTGCTGGGCTTGGGGAGCCTGGGGATTTCTCCCGAGGGAGGAGAGGACAGTCTTTCCAAAAGGCATTCAGACTGACGTCAGCGTCACTCACTAGCTACACAATGTCCCGTGCAGGGAAAACGAGCTAAATGCGGGTGGGGGGCCTGGTGGAATAGGATGAGACATGTCTACAGAACTGACTCATCAAACAACTAGGGACTTTGTCACTTTATACTTACAACTTTTATTGACACCTTCGTGTTTCCAAGAAGTGCCTGGGATTGTTGTTTCATTGGATTCCTAGACAGACCCCAAATTTATCGGGGGCCATATAGGAATTTAGAAAGAACCGTAAAAGAAACTCATACCATGGAAGGAAGCAGGGAAAGTGAGGGGTTTTCATCTTTGTCACTAACTCATTATGGTTTCAGGATCATTCTAGATAATCGATTCCTTTGTTTTCCTCCTGGCTAGACACTAGAACTGGCATTTACACACACAGAGGGATGGCTGTCAGTTTGTCTTGTGGTGGCCTGTGTTATTCCGATGCTGGAATGGAGATCACTGATAGTTCAAATACCAGCAGGGTCACCCAAGGGGAACAGGTTTCACCAGAACTTCCGGACTAAGGACAGACTACACAAAGGAATAGGCTGTCCATGTCAGAGGATTTAGCCACTCAGGAATAGCACCGAGAGATTGTCAGTTCCTGAAAAGCTAATGAACAGAAGCAGAACATTGTCAGACTGTCAGATGATGGGCTCCCCTCAGGTCAAAAGGAAGTCACTCAAAATGGGCCTGAGGAAGAAGAGCCTTCTTGAAGCAGGGAGGGCCCCTGGACATGGCTGAAGTGCAGTGGTGAGAGTAAGCCTGCACGACCTTCACTGCCTGATGGGGTGACGCTCAAAAAGAGAAGCTGCAGTAGCAAACATCAATGATTGGAACTTGAAAGGTACAAAGTACGAATCTCGGAAACTTGGGAGTCGTCAAAAATTGACATGGAACACAGAGAGATCCATATGCTAGGCATTCGTGAGCTGAAAGGGACTGGTGTTGGCCATCAGAAAATCGTATGCTTTACCCTGTTGGGAATGACACGATCTACAGAAATGACACCGTACTCATCTTCAAAATGGACATTTCAGGATCCATCTTCAAGTACAATGTTATCTGACAGGATAATATCTTCGAATCTTAGGAAATCCAATCAATACACCTATTATTCAAATTTATGCACTCACCAACAAAGCTTGTCACTGTTAGGTTTCATTGAGTAGGTACTGACCCATAGCAACCCCACGTACAACAGTGAAACACTGCCCTGCCCTGCACCATCTTCCCATTGTCCCTGTGTTTAAGCCCATTGCTCCCACCACAGATCGCACTGCTGAAGCTATCGTGCCGAAATTGAAGACTTTTACCACCATCTTCACATGGAAATAGATCGCACATGCAATCAAGATGCATTGATAATCAGGAGTGATTGGCATGCAAAAGTTAGAAACGGGAAGGAACAGTGGTTGAAAAATAGAGTCTCAGTGACAAAGGAAGCCAAAGATTGCATGATAGAATTTTGCAAGACTAATGACTTCATCACAAATGCCTTTTTCCAGCAGCACAAAAGGTAACTATCCACGTGGACTTCAATAGATGGAGTGCTCAGAAATCCAATTGACCACATCTACGGGAAGAGTTGATGGAGAAGCTCAATCATAGAAGCTAAAACCAGTGCAGGAACCCACTGTGGAACAGACCATCAATCCGAACATGTAAGTTCACCTTAAATGTGAAGAAAATCAAAACAACTCCATGAGGGCCAAATATGACCGTGAGGCTATCCTACCCCAATTTCAAGAACAGATTTGATGCAGTAAGCACTAACAACAGAAGACGTGTTGTGTGATGATATCAAGAACATCATTCATAAAGATAGCAAAGGGTCATTAAAAAAATAGGAAAGAAAGAAAATATCAGTGTGGGTATAAAAGAGACTCTGAAATTTGCTTTTGATCATAGAGTAGCAGATGGAAGAAGCTTGAAATCAAAGTGCTGAACAAAATTTCAAAGGGCAGCTCAAGAGGGCAAAGTAAAATAGTATAATGAAATGTGTAAAGACTTAGAGTTCGATACCCCAAAATGAAGAACACACTCAACATCTCTTAAACTGAAAGAACTCAAGAAAAAAATTCAAGCTTTGAGTTGCAATACCCAAAGAGTCTATGGGTAAACTATTGAATGATGCACAAAGCATCCAAAGAAGATGGAAAGAATACACAGTCACTGTACCAAAAAGAACCAGTCAACATTCAACCATTTCAGGAGGTAGCCTATGAGCAAGAACCGATGGTATTGAAGGAAGGAGTGCAAGCTGCCCGGAAAACATTAGTCAAAAACATGGTTCTAGGAAGTGATGGAATTCCAGTGAAAATGTTTCAACATCCAAGCTGATGCAGCACTGGAAGCACTCACTTGTCTATGCCAATAAGTTTGGAAGACAGCTAGTTGGATAACTGACTAAAAAGATCCATATTTGTACTCAGTCCAAATAAGAGTGACTCAGAGTGTGAAAATTATAGAACGATACCATTACTATCACATGCAAGTAAAATTTTGCTGAAGATCCTTCAACAATTGTAGCAGTACCTTAATAGGGAGCTGCCAGAGGTTCAGATGGGATTCAGAAGAGGACGTGGAACAAGGGATATCATTGCTGATGTCCTGTATCTTGGATGAAAGCAGAGAGTACCAGAAAGGTGTTTATTAATATTTCATTGACTATAAAAAGACATTAGACTGTATGGATCATAGCAAACGATGAACAGCCTAGAGAGGAATGGGAATTCCAGAACATTTTATTGTGCTCATGTGGACCCTATACATGGGTCAAGTTGTGTGAACAGAGTAAGGGTATACTGCATTGTTTAAACCCAGGAAAGGTGTGTGTCAAGGTTGTATCCTCTTCCTGTACTTGTTCAATCTGTACGCTGAGCAAATCATCAGAGAAGCTGGATTATATGAAGAAGAATGTGGCATCAGGATTGGAGGAAGGCTTATTAACAACCTGAGAAATACAGATGACCCAAGTTTGCTTGCTAAAAGTGAGGAGGACTTGAAGCACTTGTTGATGGAGATCAAGATCTTGCAGCCTTTAGTATGGATTTCAACACCATAAATAAAATTTAAAATCCCAATAACTGGACTAGTGGGTAACATCATGCTAAATGGAGAAAAGATTGAAGTTGTCAATGATTCCATCTTGCTTGGATCTATAATTCTCATGGAAGCAGAAGTCAAGAGTTCAAAAGATGCATTGCTTTGGGTAAATCTGCTGCAGGAGACCTTTTTGAGCATTGAAAAGCAAGAATGTTGTTACTTTGCAGACTTAGCTGCTCCTGACTCAAGCCCTGTTTTGTGTTGTTTTCCTCCACGTCTTAAACTGACTGCTGTCGCCCTTCACCCACTTTTCTGTTATTCACCCCCCTAGGAAGGGGTTATATGTAGATCACTGTGAGCAGTTCCCCTTTTCTCCCCACACCTTCCCCTTCCTCTCCTGGCATCTCTATTCTCATTATTGTCCTGAAGGGTTTATCTGTCCTGGATTCTCTTTGTTTCGAGCTCTTATCTGTACTAGTGTACATTCTCTGGTCTAGTGAGATTTGTAAGGTAGAATTAAGGTCATGATAGTAAGGGGAGAAGGGGGAGGAAGCATTAAAGAACTAGAGAAGAGTTGTATGTTTCGTTGGTGCTATACTGCACCCTGACTGGCTCGTCTCTTCCTTGTGACCCTTCTGTAAAGGGATGTCCAGTTGTCTACAGATGGGCTTTGGGTCTCCACTCCACGCCCAACCCCACCTCCCCTCCATTCACATTGATAGGATTTTTTGTTCTGGGTCTTTGATGCTTGATACTTGATCCCATCGTCACCTCATGATCACACAGACTGGTGTGCTTCTTCCATGTGAAGCCTCGCATTTTCAGTTGCATTATCTGCATGTGAACGTTGGGCATTGAATAAGGAAGACTGAAGAAAAACCAGTGCAGTTGAACTATGTGTTGGTGAAGAATTTTGAAAGTACCACAGTTTGTAGAGAATAAACATGCCTGTCTCCGAAGATGTGCGGCTGGAATGCTTCTTAGAGGCAAAGATGACGAGACTTCATCTCATGTACTTTGGGCAAGTTATCAGGAGAGACCAGTGGGTGAGAAGGACACCATGTTTGGTAAACTGGAGGGGCAGTGAAATCAAGGCAGGCCCTCAATGGAATGGATTGACAATGGTGGCAACAATGGGTTCCAATGTAA